ATGCATTCTTTGGGTCCTGTTTCCTCCCCTGAACCCTCCTGTCCCTGTTCTCCATTCCTGCTGGGTCCTCAGAATCCTGCCTGCTTCCCACCCACCATTGTCCGGGCTCTGCCCTGAGACACAATTAAACATACTGAGAAGTGAGCAGTGGTCTCTCTTTGGCCCCACCTGTCATTTGACTACGTTTTGGGGGGGTTTTGTTTGTTTGTTTGTTTGTTTTTGAGACAGTAATCATTAATGTCAGGGACATATCCTTGCAACAGGCACCTGAGAGCTACTTTTGCTGAAAAGCACACAGGCCTTCTCCATCCACCAAGACCACAGAAGGAAGCACAGCATCCCTCGTTTCCTTTCGTCTGTCTCCTTCACTCAGGGTCACCTGCTCACTTCTCTGCATAGATATGTCAGTCACTCAAGGGTTGCCTAAAAGCTGTACCTTTTCCCTTAGCGTCTCGCTTCTAGGCTAAAAGCACAAACAAAGGCAGATATAGTTAACTTTTACGATGTCCTGTGCCAGACCTTGAAAGGTACCCAAAGGTCTCCAATCGCTGCCCTAAACCTGCAGTCCCCTTGGATCCCAACAATATTGAGAGACAACCATCGTTATGACAAGGCACAGAAGCACCCCAAGCAATGGCAAACACAGAGCTTCAAGGGATAGGACATCCCCAAAGGAGAGCCTCTTCTAGTGTGGCCAGGTCACATACTGGACCAGGAGTGAATGTCTTAAGGGAATCAGATCATTTCCCACAAAACAGGAATAGTTTGGGACCACCTTGCAGAACAGAAGCTAAATAGCGGTCACCCAGGCTACACTGTGGCCAGGGCTGCTTATTTATGTGTTTAAATCGTTTTGCAGGAGAGCTAGAGTGATGGCTCAGCTGTTAAGAGCACTTGGTGCTCATGTAGAAGACAGTTCAATTCCCACTACCCACATGGTGAGGACGCATAGCCGCCTGTAAGTCTAGGGGATCTGACGCCCTCTACTGGGCTCTGTGAGCAACTGCATACAATGTTCATATACACACACACGAATTAAAAAATAAGGTAAAATCTTTAAAAAATGAAACACAATCTTTCATGTAGCGCAGGCTAGGCTGGAGCTCACTAGGTAGCCTTGACTAGCAGAATTCAAACTCTGAGTGCTTCTCTTGCCTCAGAAAGTATCACATGCATGGTTCACGAGGTCTGGTATTTTTAATTCTGTGACTCCATGCTTCCGGTTCTGCTCAGTCCAGCTAGGCCTCACTGAAGAATTCTGGGATTCTGAGAAGAGGACTCAGCCTGGGGTCAATGTGGTTGTGACTGAGTCTCATCCTTAGCTCATTAGAGCATTTTTTTTTTTTTTTTGAGACAGGGTTTCTCTGTAGCTTTGGAGACTGTCGTGGAACTCGCTCTGTAGACCAGGTTGGCCTCAAAGTCACAGGGACTCACCGGCCTCTGCCTCCCAACAGGGCATTTTTTTGTTTGTTTGTTTGCTTTTTGTTTCTCTGTGTAGTCTTGGCTGTGTTGAAACTCACTCTGTAGACCAGGCTGGCTTTGAACTCACAGAGATCATCTGCATCTGCCTCTGCCTCTGCCTTGTAAGTGCTGGGATTAAAGGTGTGTGCCATGACCAACCAGCCAAAACACTTCTTAACTTAAACATTTTTATTACACTTATTTATTTATTTATTGTGTGTGTGTGTACACTCATACACCTTGACACACAAGTAGAAGTCAGAGGCCAGCTTGTGGGGAGACATTCTCTGTTTCCACCATATGGATTTAGGAATCGAACAGAATCACTTTGCTGGCCCTATACCTTTAGTTTTTATGGAATGGGGTGTCACGGATTTAAGCACTGCAAACAAATGCAGTGCAATTTGACTTTGACACCATTATCACAGCTGGCTTGCCCACTTCTGCCACCTCTGGCTCCAGCTTGCCCAACCGTCAGGCTGTTTTGGCAGAAGCCCTCTGACTCCTTGACCCAATTCAGCCTTCTTTTCAGGCCTCCTCCCCCTTGGCTTTTTGAGGATCTTAGGCTGCGTGCTCTGGAGCCAGGGCTCCTGTGTGCTGAGATGGGAAGTAAATGGCCAGGGTCCGCTCTGAACTACTGCAGAGCAGGGCTTCCTCATGCTAGGCCCCTTCTCCTCTGGCTCTCATCTCTTCTCCTGGTCACTAGTCACATGATCTTCTTCCCTCTCCACTTCCCTCCCTCCATGGGATATGCTCTGCTCCCTGTCCCCAGACATCTTAGCCAGGACCACCTGTTCCTGCTCCTCTGACAAAATGTTCCAGAAAAGTTCCTATGCCTAGCCCCCACAATGCTCCCTCTGAGGGTGGAGCCCCCATGGTGCTCCATGAGACACAGTCCTCATTGCCCCCACTCGGAGTCCATTTCGCCGAGGTACACTCACTTGGGTATATCTGCCATCTTAACAGATGCTGCGACAGCCCCTGTAGTGCCTTTCCTCCTCACCGTACTGGAGTACTGAGGATGGATAAGTCAACAAGCCAACAGGAGGAGCCAGGCTCCAGCTCAGAGGGTAGGCTCTAGATGGGCAGTGATACTCAGCGGGGCTCCTATGCTGCACAGTGCTAGCCAGATAATTCTGAGGCCCAGAGCTGCCAAGTGCAAAAAAGCCTAATACCACCTGGACCAGATGGGGTTGCTCAGTAGCCAAAGCAAAGCAGTCTGGGCTGGCCTCTGCCCTGACCCACTCTTCACAGTGTAGGCGTGTGTGTGTGTGTGTGTGTGTGTGTGTGTGTGTGTGTGTGTGTGTG